GTTTTCTAGTGGTTTATTGGAAATAAGAGTCTTTCAGACTTTCCTGCCCAGGCTGGCTTTGAACCACGATCCTCAGATCTCAGCCTCCTGAGTAGCTAGGATTATAGGCGTGAGCCACCAGCGCCCGGCCCTGAGCTTCTTTTGCTCAAGGATAGCACTCTACCACTTAAGCTACAGCACCACTTTCATCCTTTTCTGTTGATGTGGTACTGAGGAATCGTATACACGGCTTCATGCATGCTAGGCAAGCACTCTACCACTAAGCCACATTCCCAGACACCTTTAAAAATCTTAAGAATTAGGTCATCACAAAAATATTGACTATGGATAGTTCAAACATATTTATTTACAATGTTCTTGAAACAACAAAAATCTTTAGTTTTGATTATCATTACTTTAAAAAAAACTCAGCCTTCAATAAGCTAATTCTTTTTTTCAGTTGGTTGTGGGTCTTGAACTCAGGGCCTGGGTGCTGTCCCTGAACTTTTTTACTCAAGACTAGTGCTGTACTACTTTGAGACACAGTGCCACTTCTGTTATTCTGGTGATTAATTGGAGATGACAGTCTCATGTCCTTTCCTGACTGGGCTGGCTTTGAACTGTGATCTTCAGATCTCAGCCTCTTGAGTAGTTACAATTACAGGTGTGAGCCACTGGTACTCAACAAAAAAACTAATTCTTAAGTGCTGTTATTGAAAAATTCTTTTGTGCATTTTGCAGACTTGATAGGGATAGAACTTGCAAAAATACAACTTCTATTTTAAAAAAACAAAAAACACAACAATGCACAGAGAAGTCTGAGTAAAGCAGAGCAAGGAACCACAGGCTGGCTGAAGTAAACAGAGGGGCTGTGGGCTCAGAGGCCAGCCCACAGTCCAGGTCCCTGCCACCAGCCTCCTACCTTCTTAGTTATTCTTTAAAACCCAGCTTCAGAGATATTTCCAAATGATACATGTAAAGGACCTCTCTAGTCACTTCTCATTGCATGCCTCAGTGCTGCCCTTCAGGATGCCCCGAACACCATATCTCTATGGAAACCCACTGTCTGGCTTATGCTTGGTTCTAATGGTACCTGCTCCAGGAAGATTTCTTCTACATCTCACTCTCATAATTAATCACTCTTTTCCCTGACTGGCCTTTGTACACCCTGGTTTAATTTCTGCTACAGAACCCTAACTAAGGACAATCTACTGGAAAGTTAACAGAAAGGTTTAGTATTCCTGAAGAGCATAGACTGCATAACCAACTCTATATGCTGGACATCTACTAGGCCTTAGAATATACTGGACTCTCAATGAAATGTTAGTAGCATAAATTAAACAATCATTCCTGTGCCTTTAAAGTTCAAATCCAAATGTACATTTTACATACTTACTAGAATAATTTTCTTTATTAAAATTAAAACAAAATTAAAGTCCACACACTTGAGGAAATGGGAAATGTAGCCTAGCCTGCAAACCAGTACCCTGCAAACTTCTGCACATAGAGTTATCAAGAGTGACTTTTCAGCCAGGATGAGTCACCTGTGAATGTGACATGAGGAATGATCACTAGCTCTGTGTGTCTGTTTTCTCCAAAGGTACATAGAGAACAAGCTACAGGAGTTTTAAGTGAGACCCACAAGCTGTCCAGTGGGGGCTGGGAACCCATCAGAAAAAAAAAGCTGTCATCCCTTCTTTTCCATCTGCCTGAAGCAGGGTAGGTAGGTCCTCAAACTGTGCTCAATGGAAAAGCTAAAAAGACTCTGTTAAGGATGTAAGAAGGTGAGCTTCAATCTGAACAGTTTTTACTCTTTCATATAGACAATTTTAGTAAGATTCAATGTAAAAAATTATGTTTTTCTTTAAAAGCTGAAGAAATAGTAGCCTAAAGAATTCTGCCATACTCTTCCCAGGGAGAAAAGGAAAGACTTAGAAACAAAGAAGCCACACTTGGCAGTAGCCCCTGCTCTGGCACCCCATGGGGGAAAAGGTAAATGCAAGCTGTCACAGGTCACCACAGGACCACAGACCTGAGTCCTTATCTTTGACTTCTGAATATGTGGAGATGTAGTGACCAACCTGGCAGAGGCAGAGCAAGGAAAGGCCTTGAGAGTCAGTTATCTCCATAATCCCACTACATATATCTAAGTAGAGAAAGTACAGTATCTCATATTGTCTTGGATACTTTAAGCTATCCCCATTGTTCACCCAAAAAGCTACTCCTACTGTCTTCTGGGATAATTTCAAGGTTTTGTGTAAGTTTATTTCATTAGTTAGTATGAAAGGTCAAGAAGACCAGGGCTATTGCTTTACTCTGCAATGAACTCAGGGAAGGTACTCATTCCTGCCTCCTCACAAATGTGCTGTTAGATATCAGAGACTAGTAGGACAGCACAAGTGGGAAACTGGGGCCCAACTTTCCTACAGGATCCAGATTCCTGGGCCCATGTCCTGGTGATGACTGCTTAGAAGGGTAAAGATAAATTAAGCATGAGGAGAATTGAAGCCAACAAGCTGTGGATATGACTTGTTCTTGGACTGTTTTTGTTGTTTTCTGCGGGTTAACAATGCAGCTGGGACTGCACCAATCCCAGGTTACCTATGACCATCACTATGGTGCCAGGGGTTCACATTCTGACTATGGATTCAAAGGTAAAATGTAGGTTATCAGTACAAGTGCTTCTTGATGAGCAACAGATTCTATACAGTATATAGACATGAAGGTTTCAACTTAAAAATCCATCTCCCATCTCCACTAGATGAACCTCAACCTGAGAGAACAGTAGATTATGGTCTAGAAAGGTCTGAGTTCAAATTCTGACTTTGACTCTTAATAGGTTTAATGACTTTCATCAAGTAAATTATACTCTTTGAACTATACCTTTCGGAGTTTTGTTCTACAATATCAGAATATAGACCCTACTTCATATTGAGCTTAAATGTGAAGACATGCAGGAGGAAGCTACACATTGGAATAAAACCTCATTTTTCAGAAGCTTACTCTTCATGGACCTGTCCTTGGGACTAACTCCTCCATGTTTCACTGTGGCTCTTCCCTTTTACACTCCAGCAGAGCCCTATATTTCACATTCCCTCCTACATAGCCAGCTCTAGGATGGGATGTTAGCTACTTAACTGCCGGCCGTGATAGCACTGTGCCCAGAATGCTCAATCAATATTATCAGCTCATGGGAAAACAGAGGACTCCATTTTTCCAGGAATAATGTGGTAGGGAAGAAGGAAAGGAATTAACAAGATGGAGGTGGTTCTTGGAGCTTAAATGCTGAGCCAGATGCTATCCTACAGTCTCTCTTTCCATCTCCTCCTTGTGCTTGCACCAAAAATGAGCCAGGGTGAAACTTGGGGGGCAAGGGAGGAGAAGAGGGTGCAGTTTTCTTTTTTTGTTTTTAAGACACACATAAACATAGCTATGTTTGTCAGAATTCATGCAAATGCGTAATAAAGCAATAAAAGAAAATTCTCAAAATCACTAAGTGATTTTCCTATGTCTCTCATGAGGCTCCTTGAACAACACAGTGTCATCACTTACAGGGCTTTCAGTCTAGGGCCACCTGCCCCAATGGAGTCAACAGAATGCATACAGACAGAACAGGAATAGAACAATTCATAGCATCACAAATGGAAACACAAAATTGATATCTGGAAACTTCTTTGAACATCATTAATTCATTAGCTCAGAGAAACTAGAAACAGAGTCAGAACTTGAGCAATTACTGGGGTAGTTATATCCACATAGAGAGTACCGCATCTTTGGTTAAAAAGCAGGATGGAGGAAGTTATCTTAGCCTTCCAACTGCTCAGCCAGTGCAGCTCAAAGCCAGCCACCATCAGCCACACGTGCAAGCGAGCCAGCATGCTGCCCACTGCAGAGGGCACACCAAATGCTCCATCCTAGCTAGCACTAGTTCTAGTTCTGTTACACAGCCAGATTGATTTACATTAAGGAGAAAAACAAAAAACAAAAACAACAACAAAAAAGGGACTGGGGGAAGGTCTCAGTACTGTTAAATGACACTGATCTTGTAGGGTGGAACAAAACAAGTTTAATTAATGTATGAGGGAATATAGGTATGTAGGAAAGGCAAAAATTACAGGTCTAAAACTTAATTTTTACTGTAAACTAAGGCCAACTCTAATCCCTTTGCATTTTTCAAAGATAGCATTACAGAAAAATAAAAGCCATGGGTGCTTGACTGCAAATTTTACAAAGGGAATAAGTACTTGGATTTAACAGTTTATCAATGCCTTTATTTTGGCTGTGAAATGTACTTTAAAAGACTGTACAGGGAGGCCCATGTATAAAAAGGTCTATGTGAACTCAAGTATAAATATAAGTGCAAACCAGAGTTTCATTAAGAGCTTTCCCATCCCTAAGTTCTATCACTTTTTGCTAAGGCCACACATCAATTTTCTTTTAGTCAATCACTTTAAAAAAAAGTAATTATAAGCAATATGGAAGAAATCTGGCTGAAAATACTTCGTGTTAGAAAAGGATATGAAAATATCACTTTTGATGAAAATACATCAAAAGTAAATTTACAATTTTTCTGAACTTAAAAAAAAGTAATTTCATGACCATTCTGCAAATGATTCAATTTTCTCTTTTTAAAAGAAGGAATTCATCAACTTTGCATCACGTTTGGGTTTTGTTTTTTTTTTAAGCTCTGCTTAAAAAAAAAAAAAGGCTGTTTGGTGGACATTCCAAAGTATTAAAAAAACAAAACATGTCTGTGCTAAAAAGTTATCAAGACTAGCTCTCTGCTGCATTTGCATTGTTATTAGGAATACACACACACACACACTCACAAGCTCAAACACACAGTTTAATGTGAGGCTAGTACAGAAACAGAGAGATTAGACACAAAGAAATGTAAACAGCTCTCACATGCGAGGAAACTAGGTTACGAGAATCCCAACACCAGGCATTCACCAGTCACCATGGAAAACAGGAAGTGAGATGCATAGCAACCACAAGCCAAAAAGCAGAAAAGCGCATACCTTTAGCTTGGAATGAAAATCACGAGATTTCCTTCTGGCAAGAACCTGAATGTGACTAGACACCTGCAGGGTAGGGGAAGGGAGGAAAACAAAGGAAAAGCCTGTAACCATGGAGATGAAAAGCCCCCTACAACTGGGCAAGCCAGACGTACCTTAATGGCGGCTTGAATTTCTCGAACTTTCTTTCTTGCTAAGACCTGTATATGACTAGACACCTACATTGTTCGGGTTTATGAAGGGAAACAAAACAAAACAAAACAAAAAACAAAACAAAAAAAGGAAATCAAATATAAAATTGCTGCTCCTTAGGAAGGTTGGGGAGGGTGGGGGGGGGGGGGAGGGTTATTTGCATCTCAACAAAGCTGTGCAGTTAGGAATACACAGTCCCAGCCAGACACCAAGCCCCCAGCACTGCTCTAAGCTTTCAGACTGGGTCATCACTGCAGTGACTTGTTTCAGGACAAAAGTTTGGGTTCGTATCAGTTTTCTGCCCCAGGAGAAATTAATAAAATCAAGGGGCACTGGAAAAACTAATTTGGGGAAGGGTGGGACGGAGGGAGAAAAGGTTGTTTTCCTTATAAAATTTAAATGGTAGGGGTAAAAATAAATGAAAATATTTATAGCTTCTCAGCATCAGGAAGGAAAATCCCTTTTCCTCAATTTAGAGGAGACAATCCATAAATTAGCACGTTCTGAAAATCAAAAGCTGAAGCTGTTGGTTGTATTCTGATCTCATTAAGAGCTCTGGATTCTGTAGCAAATGTTAAAATAATACTCACATGTAAATTAGATCTCAAAGAGAAATGGAAAAGACCCAGTTAGCACAGCTTTTTTTTCCCCCTTATAAATATTTTTAATCCTTCCACTCTTTTGGGTATTGACTAGATGCCAAATGGATTTGCATATTATTACAAAGCGAAATGTGTGAATACAGCCAGCCAGCCAGCCAGCCTGTTAAAAATCTGGGTTGAAAACCACACGGATTTGCTGAACAGCAAATTCACATTGGAGAGGTATCACCAACTGCTGCCTAAAAACATCCCCAGGATGTGGGGTATAGAAACCTTGCCCAGCCAGCTTCTGAAACACATGATTCCATTGGGTAAACAAATCAATCTGCATTTCGTTCAGTGGAACTTTGGTTAAATTTTGAAGAGTCTCCCAAAGAACAGGTCACTCAGTAAATGACCAGAGCTCCCAGGCCAGCAGACAGCCCAGGTCCAGCACCTGCAGCAGTAAGTAGGTAGGTAGGTAGGTAGGCAGGTAGATTAGTTCTGCTGGCTCTAAAATGTATACCCTATTGTTTACAATTTCAGCACTTCCTGGCAATTACCTCTTTCTAAACTCTCCAATTTGAAATCACAGGATTTATGATAATATAAAAGATCCTTTGATATTTAAATTTGTCTTTGAATTTCAATTATTCTATTTTCCCCACAGTTTGTACATTTTAAAGTACTGAGCAGGAACTTCTCAATCCTCTTCAACCCTCCATCTGTGGCTCTAACTTTTGTTGTCTGTGATTCTCTGACTTGACATGGGCCTTGGTCAGGGGGAACATTCTCCCAGCAGACAACGTAAGCCTCTGTGCTGGCTGGAGGCCACCCCTTCAGGCTGACTCAGCACCAGGCCAGGCACAGGAAGCATTCCTGGGGGAAGGCCCAGCCCCCAACAACATTCAGAAAACAGCCTTCATCTGAGGAGAACCTGTGGCTACTGCTCAGCCTTAAAGTGACCAGACTGTAGCTTGTGGTTGTTGTTGGATAAAGTTTGGGGTTCTATTATATTGAAACAGGGTCTCTCTCTATATATACATTGCCCAGGCTTGTTTTGATCTTCTGGGCTCAAACAATCTTCTTGCCTCAGCCTCCCAAATAGCTGGGACTATAGATGTGCACCACCACACCTGGCTGATCTGGTATGATTATCATTTTGAAGGTCCAATGCCATTATCATTCAGAAGGGTCAACTTTTAAATAAATAATGTTTTTCTGTTAACAATTCACCCATCAGGTATTTTCTTTTGCCTTTCTTTTTTTTACTTTTAAACACTTTTTTCTGGTACCAGACCTTGAACTCAGAGCCTGGCCCCTGTTCAGCTTGCTGAGCTGGTGTTCTACCACTTGAGCCATGCTTTCAGCCTGGCATTTTACTAATTAATTAGAGACAAAGTCTCTTGGCCTTTTCTACCCAGTTGTCTTCAAACAGATCTTTTAAGTCTTAGTCTCCTAGGATTACAGGCATGAGGTACCTGCACCGGACTAATCACATTAACTTCTTATCAGTTCCATTTGTGAAATGGTTCATACCATAGATCTGGACTGCTTTACATCTGAAAGAACCAGGGATGGCAAATCCCGGTCAAGAGCAGAGGAGAATTCCTGCTTCTGCTCTGCCCAAAGGTATTTAAGTTATAACAACATTTCAGTCATGGCAGCTATGACAAAAAAGCTATAACTTAAGAATCACAGTGCCCAGCATTCACAACACTGGGTATCATATTCAACAGATACTTTAAGGCTGCTAGCATGAGTTCCTCATTGAAAGGATGACTAATTAGTAATCATTTCAGGATGTTTAAGGCACAGAATCTCCAAGTCTCCTGGTTTGTGAATATAGCTGCACCTGCAGCTTTTGTAATATTAGCAGATGAACATTTGGGCCAAAAAAAAAAAAAAAAAAAAAAAAGGCAGCTTTGAATCACAGCACGGGGCAGTTCAGACACTGTCGTTGGCAGGGAAACTTTCCCACGTACATAAGAGAACTCAGAGGCCACATGCTCAAGGGTCACTGAAATGATGAACAGTGGAAATGAGCCAATCCAGAACACCTACGACGCTGACTCCTTACAGGAACTGGAACCAGGGCTCCTAGAGCCAAAGCACAGCAGCCAAGGCAGCCCAATGCCTCCTGGGGCCATTCGCTGACATGCACAACTCCCAGGTGGGTTACTGTACCTGCTTTCTGGTCCTCGTCTTCCCTGTCCTGAGTTTGATGTATCTGGCTATTAATTCATTCCTACCTGAAAAGAAAAAAAAAAGTTTACAATTAGGTAGGTTACTTTAAAATGAAAATGGTAATAAAAATGCTTCTAAAGCTAGAGATGAAATTCAGAATTAAGAATTTTAAATTTCAGATTTGAGCTTATTCATGGTAGAAAAATAAACAGTACAATTGTTTGAAAAAAATATTTACAAGGAAAATTCAGAGGAAGAGTGATTTTAAATTTTGTCCAGCCACCGAGGAAAGAAATTTGTCTTTTTAAGTATGCCTTTTTGCTTGCTTGCTTACTTACTTGCTTACTTACTTACTAAATGAGTGGTCACTTATAAAAAGCAGTAACTATAAGAAAAGGATGAGCACAAGAAACCCAGTTCTGTTTCAGTCTTGCATTCACTTTTCTTCTCATCCAGGCCTGTGCTTGTAGATATTATGTCCAGATAGTGTCATTATAGTGTCACAAGAGAATAAACTGCTGGAGTCATACAGCCCATTTACAATGGGAAGAAGATGAATAGTATGAAGGCAGAGATGCAAAAAGTGGTTTTGGACCAGGGACTAACGACACAAGACTGTGCTAGTAGGAAGAAACAAAAACAAACAAACAAAAAAAAAAACCCAACCTCCTCTCCAAGCTTTATAATGTCATGGGGAAAAAAATGCTTGGAAGCGAATTTTAAAAAATTCTCCATTCTTACCCTCCCAGGAGATGAGAATGAGAAGTTTCAAACAGGTAACTTTGACAGAGAAGTACTGTAATTTAGTAGGAAAATATACCCATAGATGCTAAGTAGGGAGATGTATGAATGTACAAATGAATAAAAATCCAGCTACAAGATAGAGCTAGCCTACAAGGCTGACAAGGACCAGCATGAGAATACTCATGTGAGCTGGGTGCCAGTGGCTCACACCTGTAATCCTAGCTACTCAGGAGGCCGACATCTGAGGATCACAGTCTGAAGCCAGCCTGGACAGGAAAGTCTGTGAGACTCCTATTCCCAATTAATCACAGAAAAAGCCGGAAGTAGCACTGTGGCTCAAGTGGTAGAGTGCTAGCCTTGAGCAAAAGGAGCCCAGGGATAACGCCCGGGCTCCAAGTTTAAGCACCAGGACTGGTGCGCGCGGACACACACACACACACACACACACACACACACACACACACACACACACACACACACACACACACACACACACACACACACTTATGTGAACCATGGGCCCAGACTTTCCAAGTCTGTCACCAATCACTGTCTACAATGTTACTGTCACCATAGCACTTTCTGTCACCTGCTCATTAGGAATGAGCAGGATGTGTTTACCACCAGAAGACAAAAGAATCGTAAGATTCTGGTGCTAGAATCTCTTTGAATCTCTCTTTCCTACCTCTGAAAGTTCTAAGTCCACCATAAACCTGGGCCAGGATTTCTATAACTAAGGAAGCAGCTCATTATTCCTTGAACATAAAGACCCTACTTGGGGCTTGATGTGACTTTCTTCCTCAGAGCTTCTTCTTAACTTACAAGAACCAGGTTAGACTCTATGCACACGATTAACTGCCTTTCAGATATTGACAGCACCATGCAGAGCTGGAGTTACACAAAAGCTAAATTTCCCTTTTCTTTTGTTATCTATAACAAACTTTGGAACATTCCCAGACACACCATTGTGACTATCATTTCTCCATTTTCCTTTCAGAGTCTGGCAATAGACCTGGTATGTCAGCAGAGTATGTTTGTATGTCAGCAGAGTATGTTTATCTTTTCCTCATCCTAAATGCTTTATTTCAGCTAATATAGCCTAACAGTATATTAGGGAGGTGTGTGTGTGTGTGTGTGTGTGTGTGTGTGTGTGTGTGTGTGTGTGTGTGTGTGTGTGTGTGTGTGTGTGTGTGTGTGTGTGTGTGTGTGTGTGTGTGTGTGTCTGTACACGTGGCGCATGCGTGCTGGTATTGGGGCTTGAACTCAAGGTGTAAGCACTGTCCCTTAGCTTTTTCACTCTACCACTTGAGCCACTGCTCCAGTTCTGGCTTTTTGGTGGTTAACTGGAGATAAAGAGTCTCATGGACTTTTCTTGCCCAGGGTGGCTTTGAACAATGTTCTTCAAATCTCAGCCTCTTGAGCAGCTAGGATTATAGACAAGAGCCACCAACCAGTGCCCAACCACTACAATAAATTTTTTAAGGACAAAAAACAAATCATCACCTTACACCAATTGCCCTGTCCTTGTTCCCAGCTGGGATTTTCAGACCCAAATACAAAATTTCCCATTTATTTCTACTCCATTTCATCCTATTAAATTCAGCCTATCATCTCAGCCTGCCAAAATCTTCTCAGATCCTGAGTCTGTAACTTAAGGCACCCTTTAAGGTACATTTAGAGGAAAGGGATCTTGAAATTCAGTTTTGAGGATTGCTTCTCCAAGCATTCTTTTTCAAACTTTTGAGAACTACCAATATTCTCTCTAGTGTCATCAGGTCTACTTGTTCGTCTCTCAGATGGTTGTACAGATTTTGCAATTTGTCTCAAAGAGTTGCTGACAGCAGAGTCCAGCTAAGAGTGCCTAATTACCAGAAGCCAGACCTAAAAGAGAATGTCTGCAGATGAGCCAAGCATCCTCCATTTCAGGATTTCACTGTGCACCCTGTTCAGAGCTATCTGAGTAGCCAAGATGAAATAAATACAGGGCTTGATATGACATGTAATTTCATCTGAACCTTATACAAATGGGAAAAAGGAAAAAAATCTCCTGTCCCAAACTTACTTATTTTCTGTGACTGCAGATGAAAGAGCTTAAAGATGTGAAGTTTAACCCATACAACTACTTAAAATTTCTTATGGCATTTGGATAAATAACTAATAAGATCAATATCCAGGACCACTTCATCTGACAGTATACCCTATAGCTCATGCAAATAGAAAGTCTAAAAAGCCTAAAATTCTTCCTAGTACTTCCCCCAGGTGTTTAGGAGTGCTAAATTCTGAAAATAAGTCTGTGGTCATCACTTCCTTGAAGGCTTATCCTATTCTCATGCCTTCCTCCTCCCTTATTTTGTGGGTACAGGTCCTGAGCACTGTCCCTGAGCTTTACTGCTCAAGATTAGTACTCTACCCTTTTGAGCCATAGCTTCACTTCCAGCTTTTGGTGGCAAACAAGAGTCTCATGACCTTTACTTCCCAGGCTGGTTTCAGACTGCAATCCTCAGATCTCAGCCTCCTGAGTAGTTAGGATTACAGGCATGAGCCACCAGCATCCTATTCTTTGCTTGTGTGTGTGCCAGTCCTGGGGCTTAAACTCAGGGATAGGTGCTGTCTCTAAGCTTCTTTTGCTCAAGGATAACACTCTACCACTTGAGCCACAGCTCACAGCTTTTTTTGTGAATAATTAGGTAAAAGTCTTATGATGTTTCTGCCTGGGCTGGCTTCAAACTGTGATCCTCAGATCTCAGCCTCCTGAGTAGCTAGGATTGGAGGAGGCATGAACCACCAGTGCTAGGTCCATACCCTATTCAAAAACCCATGTTCTGGGGCTGGGAAGTTGGCTCAGTGGTAGAGCGCTTGCCTTGCATGCCTGAGGCCCTGGGTTCGATTCCTCAGCACCACATAAGCAAAAAGAAAAAAGTTGGAAGTGGCGCTGTGGCTCAAGTGGTAGAGCGCTAGCTTTGAGCTGAAGAGCTGAGGGACAGCGCTCAGGCCCAGAGTTCAGGACCCACGACCGGACCCAAAAAAAAACAAAAAACAAACAAACAAACAAAAAACACTCATGTTCTTTCTTTCAAACCACATATAGGAATAGTGATTGTGTAACTCTTTTAAATATTTGAATTGTCTATTTTATATAACAGAGCCTTCCCATAAACAGAGCCTTACCGTAAACAACTTTTAGAACCCCAGTAAGTCCTCCTAAAGGCTTTGACACTGCTTACAAACCTAGTAGAGTTTTAACCTTCCTGATTTAGATCAATTACTTCACCATACAATCAAATACACTGCAATCTTTTAAATAAGAAATATCAATGGGGTCAGGGGTATGATCGAGTGATATAGTGGGCTTGCCTAGCAAGTACAAGAACCTGAGAGCTGGGCCCTGGTGGCTAAAGTCTGTAATCCTAGCTACTAAGGAATCTTAGATCTGAGCACTGCAGTTCAAAGCCAGCCCAGGCAGGAAAGTCCATGAAACTCATCTCCAATAAACTACTCAAAAAAGGGAGAAGTGGTACTGTGGCTCAAGTGGTTGAGCACTAGTCTTGAGCAAAAGAAGCTCAGGAACAGCACCCAGGCCCAGTGCTGAAAGCCCCAGGACTGGACCAAAACAAACAAACAAACAACCCTGAGTTTGAATCCCTTATGGTATGTCTTTGACTCTATTCTATTTGATTCTATTTGCATTTTCTATATGTAATTCTATGCCTTTGTAGTTAAAACATATTTAACCATTAGAGAAGTATAGTATTCCAAACAATTCTGGAATATCTTTTGGCTGCCTGGGGTTGTATATATACTGGAATTATATCACCTACGTTCTGCTTAGAGTCTTGTCTACAACTCTGATAGACCATGCTGATCCCAATTTATATTTCTATAACCCTGCTCTCCAAGTACAGAGATCCCTTGACCAGAAGCTCAGCAACAATAACCAGCACTAATGAAACTGGAGGAATCTCCTCACTACATCATCTTATACAACAAACTACAACCAGAATGCTGGGTACTAAAAATGTCTCTGGCATCCAATTCTTTTTGTGCATTCTTTCTTTCACCCTCTCCCTCCCCACACTTTTTTATCCCATATACACAAATAAAATGCTTGATTCAATCCTCACATTACAAAATATAATTTTCAACAAGTCTAACTTTAAAACGTATTATTAAAAGAATTTTACAAACACTGTATCCCCCATATATATTCATTATATTATTGTAATTATTATATTAAAGGCTGGCATATTTATTTGAAATGCCTGGACCTGAAAGTGACTTGTACTATGGATTTTTTCAGATATATCTTGGGGATGGAACTTAT